AAAAGTTCATTCTCACTGAAGAGGTTTCTTTTTTTTTTTTTTGGGGGGGGGGGGGGGGACTGTTTTACGGTCATATGAGCGCGCGGGGACATTAAACATTTTCAGTCGGTAGGAAATTTTGAATTTTTCCCGGTGACGGGCGGGTGGAGGCCAAAGCCGACTCTTATCCATTTTGGACCACCAAGGGATCTTTATCGTGCGTAACTTGCACACGGTACCTCCGAGATTTTTCGCCCGTGTCCGAGAAGGCTAGGTGTAGATCTTTCCTACCAGAATGCCAGGGGCGTGGCTGAAAGACAGCAGTAAGAACGAGCCAAGGAGTAGCAATAGAAAGGCTGCAGAAAGAGTCAGGAGCCCAGAGGAGGGGGCAAAGGAGGTGAGAGGGTGGGGACAGAAAGTGGAGACAAAAGAAGACGACAGAATATTGCTAGAGAGCAGGAAAGGAGGAGAAAGGAGACCATTTTTGACATAAAAAGAAAAATATCCGTCACTAGCCGGATTCGAAACCGGGACCTATTGAAAGAGAGGCGAACACCTTAACCTCTGGGCAACGAGAGCCCCCCTGGAGAGTTTGGTGATAAAAATAAAGAACACACAAATTTTCTTCTGCGAGATATATAGATATCACGAATATTTATTGCACTGGCTAGGCAGAGCATTCTAATACTAATACAAGGACACAAATATACAAAACAGAAGGTTGGTGAAATTAACAACTACGACATTGACAACTGACATTTTTGCACGTGGTTACAAAAATTCACAATACAGAATAACATCTTTTGCCAACTGATATTGGGAACAAAAAAAGTATTGGAACCCATAATCCGTTTACAAAACAAAAAAAGGGCAATTAGGTCTAATTGCTGAGGATTCTAGCTTTTAATTCTAGACTACAAAGAATAATACTACACTCATTAAGTCTCAGATTCCTGGCATTCACTGTGTTCATGTTACTGACTCTTCCAAATCAAACCCAACAGCAGTAGCAGAGAAACTGAAGACATCATTGAGGAAAGGAAGAATATACAGAAAAGCTACATAACAATTAAAAAATAACAAGAAGAAAGCAAAAGCAAACTGCCCTAATACACAAACAAAATATGACATTTCTATTAACTACATAACTGGAAGTATTTAAAACAAGCAAAATTGCGTGCTACGTTTCAATATTTCATTATTGAGATATAATTCATGTATTTTTTAAAAGACAAAGTAATTAGAAAATGACTATTAATTTCTTCTTTTTTTTACACAACGCATGCTAAAGTGCACTCTTTGAAAATGGAAAAACGCAGAGTATATATTAAAAACCTGTTAAAAAGACAATCCCAGTGGATAGTTTATGGAAAATACTGGTAGGCCTACTGCCTTCAGTTGACATGGATGGGACCAACCCCCCCCCCAAAAAAAAAATTAATAAAAAAAATATTCCAACAAAACAACATAACAAAATTAATAAACTTACGGCTGCCAGTATTTGTGTAGAGCAAAGTTAAGCTTTCATAAGTTGGAAATATAAAAGCCAGCGTTCAACCCCCCAAAAAAGGTAAAAGTTAATAGACAAGAAATGAACAACGATGTATTCAAATAGTGTTCCCTGACAATGTGACACAAAAAAAAAAGAAGACAGAGACAGTCCTCAACAGGTAAAATAAAATTGACCCGCATTGTCACACAGCTGAAATAGTATGTTAATCAGGGCAAAGCATTCAACTTCAGCGTCTTAAATGTCGTATGCCATTATTTTCTTCATTGTATACATTTTAAAATGAGTCTAAGTAATAATATGGGCATGCTATCAAAAAAATATTATTGCCAAAGAGCAATAAGAGAAAGAAATTGATATCGAAAAATGATTCATCTACAAATCGAGGTATACCTCAGCACTAAAAAAGAAAAATGAACCAAAAGCTGACAAATTAACATGTCAAACAGAATTTCGGTGGATTTCCATAGTCCTGATAATAGCGCAACCGTATCGAACTTTGTCTTTCTGTTCAGATTTGAGTCCAGTATTTCTGATCATTTTCTCCATCACTAATTGCAAAAAAAGGTAGAAATAATCTCAGATAGTATTTACAAAGGAAAAAACAAAAGCAAAGTTCAGACCAGGTTATGTTATTTAGAAAACTTCATAAAAAAGTGATGGAAAAGAATAAATTAGGTTGGTGGAATGAAAAATAAAATTCTGCAGTCAGATTTAATGTCTACAAAGTCAACAATTGCCAAATCTGTTCTGAACATTGCACGGACTATAAGGGGAAAAGGCGCAGAATACTTTTACAGAATGGCTTGTCCAGGAGCCCAAGGTATCATTATAGCCCCCCCCCCCCCTCTTTCTCTCTCTCTCTCTCTCTCTCTCTCTCTCTCTCTCTCTCTCTCTCTCTCTCTCTCTCTCTTTCTCTCTCTCTCTCTCTTTCCCTCTGTCTCTCTCTCTGTCTCTCTCTTTCTCTCTCCCCCCCCTCTCTCTCTCTCTCTCTCTCTCTCTCTCTCTCTCTCTCTCTCTCTCTCTCTCATCCTGGATCTGGAACAAATATTGACTTTCATGGCTCTCCACTCAGTCCTACTCAGTCATCCTGAGAAATGCTGCAGCATTTCCAGTTCCTCGCTGCAGCATTTCCAGTTCCTCCCAAAATTAAGACCTTTTTAAAAATCATATTGGTTTTGACCTGCCTTTACCTCTTTTTTTCTTCAATCTTTCACATTCAGATTAAGGCGAAATATTCAAGACCCTTGGGCTCGCATATGTTCTAAAAGTACACTTTTCTCATACTTACTGTTCTTCTTATTGCCTAAACTGCACAATGGAATGTCCAGGAAAGAAGAAGTCAGTCCACACGCAGATGTTTTATCATACAATAAATAGTTGAATATACCACACCAAGGAATTCCTGAGATCTGAGTTGCAACTTTACACAGAAACTTGTCTTACCTAAACACATTGCCTGGACAGAAGAGAGTTGGCAAAAAAAGACAAACTACAGTGAAAAGTAAAACTACAAAGCTGAGAACTGTTATGGTGACACTTTGGCAATAATATGAAGACTATTTTCTCACACCAAAACCCGATGACTTCTCTAATCTAATGTCTCCAGTTCTGTTTGAAGGGCAGTATTGTTTTGTCCCGTTCTCTATGGCACAACAGCAAACATTTACTCTGTAATCAGCCAAACCGGCTATATAGAATTGTTTTTCTTTTTTTCATCTAAACTTACAAACCACAGGAAAAGTCTAAGTCAAATGGACTCCAAAAGTGCTGGAAAATTGGAATTTTTCTCACCTGTTGATATCTTATGTATTTTTTTCAATGAGATGCAGGCATATGTTTCAAAGTTTATAATTAAAAAATTACTAACGAAGAAAAAAATGAGAATGTGTGGGTGCAGATAATGCAAATTAACATTTTCATGAAAAAAAAAAATTTTAATTTTGAAATACAGATATTTCAAAAAGCAGTTGCACAAAATTAGAAAGGTAGTTTGTGAGAGTCATACCCAATAGTCCTATGTACAAAGAGAAATACAAAGTAAAAAAAGAGAATTAAAACAACAGGCTGAAGATTAGAGGCAGTCGGCCCATTTATAGTGGAAGTTATATCAAGATTTAGCTACAGATATCTCTCAACCATCGTCCCCCCCCCCTCCCTTCCTCCCTTCCCCTCCCATATCCTTCTCCTCCAGAATTATTGAAAATAAAAATTATGACTTGATGTTTCCATTTGCCAACAACTCATTTTTGGTACCTTGTATTTTTGTACTCTGCACTTAAAAGCACACATTTTAATATAAAAAGAAGCGGCTTTTGCACAAAATGCACACTCGACAAAATGACACACTCTTCTGAAAAAAGCACCTGGGAATATAAAGCTAAAATAAGTATGTGAAAACACTAAAGAACCGACAGAAAGAATAGCATGATAAAGAGGTAAAATTAAAATTTGTAAAAGAAGCACCATACAGAATTTCATTCTAGACCTATGATATAATTACTCAAGAATTATATCTTCAGTCAGACTCATCAGGAAACGGAAAAGAAATTTTACCTTACAGGAAAATACACATAATAATATACACACATATGCACACACATTTGCGCAAGTGCACACACACACATACACTCACACACATAAACACACTTACACTCACACACATAAACACACACACACACACACACACACACACACACATACTCACACACACACACACACTCACACACACACGCATGAGCGCACGTACATGCACTCACGCTTATCCACACACCCACTCGCACATGAACTCATAAACACATATACATAAGATTTTGTATATTATATATATTTAAATAAATACGCA